CATCAAGGTGAACAAACAGACGATGAAAACCAGAAGAATTGCCTGCAGAGGCAAGCCAAACAATACTTGCCAACATGATTAAAAAACTTGTCATAACTGCTATCTTGTTTAGCTCAATTGCTTTAAGCGCTTCAAATGTTTACTTAAGTCTGCTGCAGAAAGTATCAAAAGCTCTAAATGCATCAGATTGCTGGGTATGCGGCCTGAGTCCTAGGACTCATAGCAAGAGATTCCTCATGATCCCTCATCCCCTAAGTTTAGGGAACATGACGGCTGAGTGAACAAATTTAAATCATTCCAAATAAAAATAGAGTGATCCTTCTTCTGAAGGATCAAAGGCGGGAATGAAGGGGAATAAAATGGAGTTGAATCACCATTATGTGTAAGCGAGCAAATCACATACCCTGCTTAGGCTATGGGGAAGTCAAAAGAACATGACCCAAAACCGCTAAGGCTAGCGCAGACTGAAACAATTCTGTCCTAGTCCAGTGAAAGCAGAAACTTAGTGTAAAAATAATTCTGAGCAGGTCACGTACTGGCCTGCTGAGTCAGCCCAGAACGGAAAGTAACTCTGTGGTTACAAGTCAAAAGAACCCTCCCCCCCCCTAAACTAACACTGCTGTACTAAAAATAAGTAAAAACATGCGCATTACTATCAAAGTCATGGCAAATGCTAATTAGTATATGCTGTTGCTGTGCTTATGATGTCATATTTTCTGTATAAACTTGCCTCACCTATTGTACGGGGTCAAACCTCTTCACAATTATCCAGTTGTGTATGAGTCTGTCCAGAATGCATTCTTTTATAAATCAAGTCTGTAAACTTATGTTGTAATTTGTCTGAGCCTCCGCCCAACGAACCTGGGGACTTAATTTTTTTCCCCAACAGCCTGAGGCCAAGAAGACCAGAGCCTGAGCCCAGAAGGGGTGATATAGGTGGCCTGAGGCCAACTGGGCTGTAGCCTAAGCCCAGAGAGGGTGACACAGGCAGCCAGGGGATGTTGAGAGGCTGAGGGTGAAAGACCAGGCCAAAGCCAGTGGGCCTAGGCTAGCAGTCTACAGCCAGAGTAACCTGTAAGCTAAGGCTAAGAAGGCCGAAGCTTATACAAGGGAGTAACTGGTGACAGAATGACATCTGTGAGGCATTGGTGTGGCTGTAGAGGGTGCAGGATGTCATGAATTCAGCCCATAAGGCAATTAGGGCTGGAAGAGCCACAGGCTGAGAGAGAAAGAGACTTTGTGTGTTCCAAGCCAAGTGGACCAAATCAAGTCCACAGAATAGGAAAAGGACTAGGAAGAGCACCCAGAGCTTTTCAACCTCTAAGGGCAGCCCTGCCCTGAGGGGGGACATCAGAAGAAGACCATGAGAGGCGGAAGCAAGAACTGGGCATGGGCAGGACCAAGGTAGCCGCCAAGGGATGTCACGGCCACCCTAGGGTGTGTCCTGTTACAGCCCCCCTTTCCTACTCCCAGAGGCATCCCCTGGGTGTCTACTGAAGAAGAAAAGAGAGGAATGCAGGAGCAGGGGGAAGCATTATTGAATTTCAGAGATTCAGGAGTGCCCAGAGCAGGGGGCTGGGGCTTGGTGGGGTCATACAGGGATTCAAACAAGTTCCTAGCAAATGCTGTTATGTTCTGGCCCCTGTGATGCTGGTTACATCTCCCACACCTGCCTTTTCAAATTCCTAGATCTGCCGATGCGTGGATCATGATGCTTCAAAGAAAAAATGGTGAGAGAAACTCCTTAACAAGTGGGGACTTCAACTATGCTTTTAGTAATTATGAGGGAAGAACCTTAAACATCACCAAGGTTTTGTAGAACATTTAAATTGAATGTTGTTATCTGTTTTTGTTAATGAAACCAAAACTTGGGAAAGGAATGAATTCAGATTAGGTTTCAGAGCTGTTTGGGGAACAGAACTGCTTTTAGGCAAATGATGCTCTGATGGGCCCTGTTAGTATGAAAGGACTGCTGAAATGCAATATGGGCATGGTGTTAAGCCTAGACACTATGGGTGCTGGCAGACATGAAAAAAAAACAAAACAAAACAGCACTTTAGATTCAGTAATTTATTAGAAACACCAAAAAGTCCCACTGAAGTGTCCAGTCTATACCAAAATTGGATGAGCCAGGTCAAAATAATGCAATGCCTCTTCTGGGCATGCACTGTGCTTGGCGTGGGGGAACACAAAGCTTAAAGTAAAGATCTTTTTTAATTTTAATTTTTTTTTTTTACATCTGAAGGCAGTCAATATAAGTCTTCAGTTGAGCTGGCATACCCAATACCAAGTTGTGAATGAGTCAAGTTCATAATCTGTCTTGCAATTATAGATTGGTCTTCAGGTAAAGGACATGGTATTACTTACAAGAATGTAGTCAGCCCAAAGGCAAAATAAAGTTTCAAGAATGACCCCGCCCACAAACCACCCCCCCACAGTGTTTTGGTGAAACCCAAATTTTTCTTAGCAAGCTTTCAGGTTTGCCACGTGAAGAATTGCTGCAGTACAGAAGAAAACCCCCCACAAATCACACACCACTGGTTATGACATATCACTCCTCCCTCAAATGTATATGGGAAATCCTCAAACAATTGCAACCCATACTAGAAGGAGACCCAATTCTTAGAGAGATCTTCCCACAACCTCCCATCGTAGCCTTCAAACAAGCACCAAACCTCATTAACCTTATCACCAAAAGCAAACTTCCTACTGCTCAAAACACACCAAATAGATCCAAGCCATGCAATGACAAAAATGCAAAACCTGCCAACACATCTCCACCATCCCCACAATTACTACACCTCACAACAGAACCATCAGCATTCCTGGATCTTACAGCTGCATCTCCAGAAATGTAATAAATCTCATCCAATGCCCCAAATGCCCTAATGGAAAATAACAAACAACAACTGCGCACCAGAAAGAATGCACAGATTGAAATCTATAAAAGACAAGAATGTCCAATTACTGGTGGGGACATTTCTCACAAGACAACTGCTTTCTCTCCAATCTCTCAGTTTTAATCCTCAAAGAGAACTTACAAAACTCTTTTCACAGGCTAGCCTACAAACTTCACTTCAGCAACGTCCCGGATACAAAAAAATCATGAACTAAATATAGACATTGGATTTATGACACATTTATGACACATTATAACCTGCTTGACATCTGACTCCCCTAGTACTTCTCCACCTGCTACATTCATCTTCTTTCTTCCCCCCCACCAAAATCTTTCACCCACTGACTCCTCAATTTACAACTTCACTGACTGCCTTTCATGCATGCATACCAGCCTCTGGCCTCTTTACTATTCATTCCATTCAGGAAGAACACACACACCAACTGCAGATTCTTCCTCAGCCTGATGAAGGATTTTTAAACCCGAAAGCTTGCTAAGAATTTTTTTTCCCATCTATTAAAGTTGGCCTAATAAAAGATATAAGATTCACCCAAATAACCTCATCTGCCTATGTCTTTAGACCAACACAGCTACAAAATACACCCCTGGATACCTAGGTGAGATTTTTACCTCAGGCCCTTTTTAATGGGTAAAGTGGATAGAACAAAATGGAGCAGAACTGGAATGGATACAGGAATAGTGCAAAGGGGAGGATTTTCTCAGCATAGGAACTGAGCCAGATAGCTTCTTACCTCTCTTCTGAGGTAATGGTCCACCTACTTAACTGAGCCAGCAGTAACACCTGAAGCTATCTGAAGAGAGAAGTTATTGGAGTTTCCTACCTTTTCTTTAAAGGTGGAAAGTTGAGTTCAAGGAAGAAAGTGAAATACTGGCAGTAGTGAAAAGGAAATAATTTTTAATAGTGGAATAAGGGAGGACAAGAAAGAATTAAATGGTTTGGGGAGGAACTAAAGAATGGAATTAAATCAGGTGACCTCAGCCCCTAGCTCATGGGCCAAATCCAGCCCCTAGCCCACTGGTTTTCCAGAGCTCTAGAAATTTGATAGCAGAGGAGAAGTCATAAGTAATGCTGTCATCACTGCCAAACTTCCAAGTCTCACAAACAGGATTACATGGCCCCATAGCTAAAAACCAACCTGCATACAAAGGGATAGGACTTGGGCTGCAACCTGATCTGGCATGCCCTTGGGCACAATAGAGAGCATGAGACTGGGACCGATCCAGCTCACAGACTCACCCCTATATGACTCATCCAGGCCAAAATATTGGGTGCCACTGCTTAAATGAACATGCACACACAGAGGACTAAAAGTAAGCAAAAATATTAGAAAAAGCTGATAAAAGTCTTGGAAAAGAAAAGATTTTGCTGGAAACAGAAAGTTGAAACTTCGAAAGTAGAAAGAAGATCAGAAGAGAAAAAAATATATTAAACATAAATTTTGTGCCCTAATTAGGCCTTGTCTGCACAAAGAAGTTTCTGCAAAAGTTTAGAAAATGATGGGAAATACTGCCCCCCGCATGTCCCCCCGCAAATGTTGGTAGACATGGATTTAAAAGCAGGAGAAAAATGAAAATAGAATATTAAAAGGAATTATAACAGAGGTAAAAAATGTACAGGGGTGTGAAAGCAGGCCTCGAGCTTTATCCTGTGAGAGCTAAGAATCCAAACTAACTAAACATGCCTAGGCCTATAAATAATTATTTGTTTTTACATTTGCATTGATATGATATCAGAAGAAGGTAAATATATTTTTATGCATCTTTTAAATTGTTTTGCATTTTGTATAAAATTAAATTTTAAAAGTCCTATTACCAAAAAAAATTCAAAGTTGATAAATTTATTAGGTTTAAGGTAACTTAAAAATGTCCACATTGAAAAGCATAATGCAAAGATAGTATCAACACTGAATATTGAAATGATTCAAATAAAATCAATAAATGAAAAATAATAGTGTGTAAACATTCCTAATACAACAGAAAATTTATTGTGCATGAATAATGAATGCATAACTAATGATGAACATCTTTTTTCTACTCATTTATGAAGTATTTGCATGCAAAGGTTATTAAATAAACTTACTTGCTGATGTCGTACGCCCTTTATAAACCAGCGGTTTTCCTGTAACATTTTCATTTTTCTTATTCACGGTGCATGCACGCACTTCTATTTCATACGTGTCGTATGGCCCATATCCTGTGCAGTTATGTGTAGTTTCTTTATCCAAAAAGAGGATAAAATTCCCTTTAAATAAAAAAGGGAAAGTTAAGTGAGCATGTCATATTATAAACAAAAGGACTGCCATGTAAGTTCTATCTTTTAATCCACTTTCCTGTCTCTAAAACAGGACAGTAAAGATTTTACAAAAAAAGATGCTAAAACCCAGAATTTTTTACAGTTTATGGATGAACCTGACTATGAATTAACTTAATTATATGGGGTCTGCTTCTTGCACCAATTAATTATATTTGGATTCATGAAAGAGAGTATCTTATCAAATATTCTATAACTGTAGTGATTATCATTATCCATATAAATAAAACACAGAAAAACCTCTGCTGAAATAATATAGTAAAATCTAATGGATTCAGAAGTTAGGAAATACCAGACCTAAGTTCCCTTGTGCAAACTCATCTGGATCTCATGTGGACATGCATTAATGATGGTCTCAAAATTATATTCTATACTATTTTTCCCCACAGGGAAATTCATGAAATGGTATGCTATTCAATAGTTCTTTTTATCTTCCATATTCAGTTTGCATCCTTGGTCCTTATTTAATTAACATGATCCAAACTGTCCACTGAAAGTTATTAATTTCTTATGTACTTTCTTATTCACCAGAATACCCAAGTACTTCATAAAAATGATGAATTTATCCTTGTAACCCCATAGGTGAGAATAGCAGTTGTTCCCATTATGCATCTGGAGATTGAGGACAAAACGATGAAGGCCAAATGAGTCAAATGTTAACTAAGTTTGGTGCCTAAATTGGAACACAAAGCACATTCATAATACTTAGCATTTTTACAACACCTTATATCTTGAAAGCACAGGTCTAATTGATTTGAACTGACACTATTAACTAAAAATCTCATCTCGGGTGTCTCGGGCTGAACACCCAGAACATGCGGAACATAAAATTAGTGACTACCTAGGAGAACTTTGCTTTAAGTGACTAGCCTAGCACCACAGGAATTCAGACGTAAGAGATTAGCCAGCTCACTTTTTGATAATGTTATAGTCAGGAACCAGCAGAGAGGTCATCACCAATGAAAAGGATACTTACCAAGCCCATTACTGTAAAAGGTAAAAAGAAAATGGAAATAAGGAAGAGATTTTAGCTGAGAATCTGTGCTGTACCTCCACACAGTAAAAGTAAGTCACCTTTCAAACCTCTCTTTGGAGGCCTAATCTGGGGCATGATGCCATTACATATACATATTATCAGGGTCCTTGGTATGATGCTTAGAGCTCCTACTACATCTTTCAAACCATATAAAGGGTCTACAGTGGAAGTAGAAATCCCTCACTTGTTTAAAAAAAGGGAGAAAAGAGGTTGCCCTCCACTCTTTTTCTTCTTCTACCACTTAGTGTTTCAAGTATTTCAATTTAAAATATTACAGATATTAAAATAATGGGCTTAAAGATGTTTTCATTTAACCTACTACCAATTCTGAATGCAAAGACAGGCATGGTATGAAGCATTTCCCCAACCCCTTTATTAGTCAACTTGCTGTCTGTCACACCTTTGGAACTCCACCTCTTCCTTTCTTTCCCCGTTTCTTAAAAGCCCAAACTGGCAACTTTAAACCAGTGCCCATTATGGCCTCTAGGCTACATTTTAACTTTAGATGCTGCCCAGCTGCTTTTAGAACATAGTATCTGAACTGAGAAGTGGTAGTTTCTCTTGCAAATCCCGTTGAAGAAGGGTCATCAGTGGCACTTCGAAAGGGAAAACACTATGTTGCCTCCTAGTTCAGTTGCTGCATTTGATAAATGGCTGAAAGGTATCATATAGACAGAAGGCAAGGTTCTTTGAGTAGATGTGATATCTTTTATTAGACCAACTGAGTAGTTGGAAAAAAGTTCTTGGAAAGCTTTTGGGCAGTCACCCTTCTTCAGGCATAGGGAGTCTCTGCTAGTCTGAGACTCCAAGGAATGAGAGAAGCTAAAAGTGTGGCAGGATGTCAGTGAGAATGTAAATAGGTAGAAATTAGAATGACAAAAGGTAAAGCAGGGAAGGGAGGGGAAAGAAAGAAGGGGTGGGGGGAGGCCAAAGGGAAACACTACAGTAGTAATAATGGCTCTCAATAAAAAAGGGAAATAGTTGGAAATCAAGAAGACAAAGGGCAAAAAAGTGGGGGAGGGGAGGAGGAAAAGGTGAGGGAAAAGAAGAATGTAAGAGGTCAGGTCAGGCAGGTGCCTGGTGAATTAGATGTCAGGCTGGTTGTAAGGTGTCATAAATTCAGCATCTATATTGAATCCATGATTTTTTATATCCAGTATATTTATGAAGTGAAGTCCATGAGGTCATCTATGAAAGGTGTTTTGTAAGTTCCCTTTGAGGATTAGAACTGAGAGATCAGAGAGGGAGTGATTGTCCTGTGAGAAGTGTGCCCCCACAGGTAGCTGGGTATTCTTGTCTTTGATAGATTTTTGCTGAGCGTTCATTCTGGTGCGCAGTTCTTGTTTGGCTTCTCCTACATATTTTTCATCAGGGCATTTGATGCACTGGATATAACATTTTTGGAGGTGCAGGTGTAAGACCCAGGAATGGTAATGGTTCTATATTGGGATGCAGTTATTGTGGGGGTAGTGGAGATGTGTTGACAGGTTTTGCATTTCTTGTCTTGGCACGGTCTGGATCCATTTGGTATGGTTTGGGTCATATGGAGTTTGCTTCTGGTGATGGGGTAAGCGAGGTTCAGTGCTTGTTTAAAAACTAGGATGGGTGGTTCTGGAAAGATCTCTTTAAGAACAGGGTCTTCTTCTAGTATGGGTTGCAATTGTTTGAGGATTTTCTGTGTAGGTCCCAGGTGATGAGTCATAACTAATGGTGTGTGATTTGTGGGGATTTTTTTTTTGTACTAAAGCAAATCTTCACGAGGTATCCAGGTGACTCTTTCAAAAGTGCAATCTCTCTCTGGAGGAGTGTCCTTGTTGACTGAAAGCCCTTTTTATATTTGTGAGATGGCAATCATGGGTATTCTCCTCGCTGCAAATTCATCCCCGTTCCTTACTTGCTTTATCTTTTGTCTTTCTAACTTCTACCTATTTATATTTTCACTGACATCCTGCCACACTTTTAGTTTTTCTCACTCCTTGGAGTCTCAGACTAGCAGACTCCCTATGCCTGGAGAAGGGTTACTGCACCTGAAAGCTTGCAGTAGAACTTTTTTCCAACTACTCAGTTGGTCTAATAAAAGATATCACATCTGCCAAAGAACCTTGCCTGCCTATGTCCTTAGACCAAGACAGCTATAACCAAAAACCCAGTCACATAGACAGAAAGTTCTTTGAAGTAGAAAATCATCTTTTTGTTGCATACTTTTACATTAAAAAATACTGTGCAGTAAGCGTACAGGGGAGCACATTTGCTCCCAATGGGAGCAGCCTCGAGAGGAAGAGCAGACTTCCCCATACAGTCTGGGACTGCCTGGGAACTGTCCCAGTCTGGGGCAGGTCCCAGCCAGCTCCAGGCTGGGTGGGGAACTCTCCCCATGCAGGGAGCTCCTGGCACCAGTTCCATGATTGGTGTGGGGGCTGGGAGATTGCTCCCTGCCCCCAGGAGCTGCCTGCTTCTGGAGTGGGCTCCAATGGCAGAGCCTAGGCTGGGACAATGTTCTTCCTTCTCACTACTGCCAGCATTTTCATTTTCTTCCTTGGAATTCAAACTTTGGATGTTCAAAATTTAAAGAAAATGTAAGCAGATCTTATATTGTACTGTAGGGAATTGATGGGCAGAATCCCATGGGAAGCCAATCTGAGGGGAAAAGTAAACTATCTGGTTGTACTATAAAGAAACCTTACTGAGGGCACAGGAATGAATGCAGGAAGACTAGTACGTATAGCAGAAGACCAGCTTGGCTTAGCAGGGAACTCTTCAGTGATCATGGAATACGAAAAGGAAGCTTATGAGAAGTAAAAACTAGGACAAACTACTAGGGAGGAGTAGAGTATTGCTTAGGAATGCAATGAAATCAGGAAGGCCAAAGTAGAATTGGAGTTGCAGCTAGCAAGGGATGTGAAAGGCAACAAGGAGAGTTTCTACAAGTATGTCAGCAAGAAGAGGAAGATGAGGAAAAGTTTGGGTCCCCTACTGAATGGAAGAGGCAACCTAGTGACTGATTATGAGGAAAAGGTTCAATGCCTTTTTTACCTCAGTCTTCACAGGCAAGGTCAGCTGTCAGACTACTGAACCTGGCAACACACTTTGGGAAGGTGATGAGCAGCTAATAGTGGCAAAAGAAAATGTTTGGTACTATTTAAAAAAGCTATATGTGAACAAATCTATGGAGCCAGATGCAATGCAACTGAGAGTGCTGAGGAAGTTGGCTGACGTGATTGCAGACCTACTGGCCATTATCTTTGAAAACTTGTGGCAATCAGGAGAGGTCCCAGACAATTGGAAAAGGGCAAATATAGTGCCCGTCTTAAAGAAACAGAAGAAGGAGGATCCAGGGAACTACAGATCAGTTGCTTCAGTCTTAGGAAAAATTATGGATCAGATCCTCAAGGAATCCATTTCTAAGCACTTAGGGGAGAGGAAGGGTGATTAGGAACAGTCAGCATGGATTCACTAACGGCAAGTTAAGTCTGATCAATCTGATTGCCTTCTATGATGAGATGACTGGTTCTGTGGATGTGGGGAGAGCAGTAGATGTGGTGTACCTTGTCTTTAGCAAGGCTTGTGATGAAGTCTCCACAACATTCTCACAGGCAAGATAAAGAAGTACAGCTTGGACTGTAAGGTAGATGGAAAACTGGCTGGATTGTTGGGCTCAAATGGTACCAATCAATGGCTTGATGTCTAGGTAGCAACTAGCATCAAGTGGAGTGCCCTGGGGTTGGCTCTGAGGCCAGTTTTGTTCAAGATGTTCATCAAAGTTTTGGAAGATAGGATGGAGTGCACCCTCAGGAAGTTTGCCAATGGAACCAAGCTGGGTGGGGAGTAGTAGATATGCTGGAGGATAGGGCTAGGATTCAGAGACAGAAACTGAAGGATTGGATCAAAAGAAATCTTACAAAGTTCAATAAGGACAACTGAAAAGTCCTGCGCTTGGGATGGAGCAATGCCATGCACCAATATAGACTAGGGACTAACTGTCTAAGCAGCAGCTCTGCAGAAAAGCACGTGGACTATAGTACTCAATAAGCTGAATGAGCCAACAGTGCCCTTGTTCTGAAAAAGGCTAACAGCATACTAGGCTGCATTAGTAGAAGTGCTGCCAGCAGATCTAGAGAAGTGTTTCTTCCCCTCTATTTGGCAATGGTAAGGCCACATTTGGAGTACTGTGTCCAGTTTTGGGCTCCCCACTACAGAAAGGATGTAGATAAATTTGAGAGATTCCAGCAGAGGGCAACACAAATGGTTAGAGGGCTAAAGAACATGACCTCTGAGGAGAAGCTGAGGGAACTGGCCTTATTTAGTCTGGAAAAGAGAAGACTGAGTGGGGATTTAATAGCAACCTTCAACTACTTGAAGTATAGTTCCAATGAGAATGGAGCTAGACTGTTCTCAGTGGCAAATAAGAGAGCAAGGAGCAATGAACTCAAGTTGCAGCAAAGCAAGTTTAAGTTCAATATTAGGAAAAACTCTCTCACTAGGAGGGTAGTAAAGCACTGGAACAGGTTACCTAGAGAGGTTGTGGAATCTCCATCCTTGGAGGTTTCTTAAGACCTGGATAGACAAAGTTTTGGCTGGGATGCTCTAGTTGGGGATGGTCCTACTTTGAGCAGGGGGTTAGACTAGATGACTTCCTTAGGTCCCTTCCAACCCTAATTTTCTATGATTCTAAGGCAAAGGTTGGTATTAGGAAGAGCCACAAGTTTGTCAGGCTGCTGGTTACTGGTAGGTCTGGTTGGCCAATAAACTGTAGATATAATTTATGAAATGGAAGGAGACCACATGATTTTGGGGTGTAAGCAACATGGACAAGGGGGAATTTCAAGGAGAGTACAATGAGTGAGCCAGAAAAGAAGTGGTCATGTGGCAATGAATTTTCCTTCAGCTGAAATAACAGCCTGAGGCTTGCCAGCTAGCTCAAATATACATGTCCACATGCAGTTTGGAAGCAGACCCGGCTTCAAGCTAATCAAAGAAGCTGAAAGACTGACTGGTCCACTATGGACTCTGAGGGCTCCTATACACATGCATGGATCCTGCTCTGATTCGCTGAAAATCCAGCACTTTGGAGCAGACTTGTTTAATCAAGTCTGCTGGAGCACAGAAAGTGATACGCTCCAGCATGCTTCCGCATCACCCGTATCAGCATCCCCATGCATCTCCAAGCTGAAAAAAATGGTGGTGGGGGTGCTTTGAAATAAAACATGTTTGATAAGCTTTATTTCAAAGCACTCCACCTCAATTTTTTTCAACATGGGGACGCTGATACTCATGACATGTGGGAGCATTTAATTAGTGCAGCTTGCTAATTAAAAGTTCCTGGTGCCACGACCCACAACACATGTAAAAATGTCCTAAGAGCTCAAGTGTGGGGTTACACTATAGCCTTTGGCTACCTTTACATTAAAAGTATGTGGCATTATTAAAAAAGAAGGTTTTTTAAAAACTTCTTAGAGAAACAATAGGGCATTTCAACAATTACTTGTGTAACAGTTATCTCTAGAGTCTCTGATCAGTAATAAAGTCCTCATTAGACAGTATACAGTGACAGAATAAACTTAGAATTCATCTCAGTTATGTGGCAAATATCAAAGAAAAATGTACTTACCAGACTCCCCCTTTTTACATGTCACATTATATCCACCTATAGGCCCAGTTGTGTTTGAGGGTCCACGCCAGGTAATTGATACACTTTTAGAAGTTACTTCTTGAGTCACATTTTCAGGTATCCCTGGAACTGTTACAGAAAATTGGAGAACTAAGAATAAAACTACTTTCATGTAGAAAATACTTTTAAAAATGATAAAGAAACAACAGCTAAGGACACTTAAAATAAAAAGTGTTTCAAGTTTGAAAGCATTGAATGGAATTACAATTTTATTGGATAGAAGTATAAGGGATTGACAAAATGTGCACAAAGTATTGATCTCCGATCCATTTTACACAAATACAGGACTCCAATTCACGGAAATCTGTGAAGAAATTGCATAGTTCAACACAAAAAGCAATTGGAGGTTAGAAACCAAGGCCGTGTGCAGAGGAAATGACAGGCATGTGTGCATGACACTTTAAAGCAGGCTAAATGCTTTTGCACCACTTTAATGGTGTCAGTGCTTGCACGCCTTGGTGGCATATTGCACATTCCAGCCACTGTAGGAAATTCAGCAGCAGAATGCACCTTAAATGACTTGGGGAGGCAGCAAACTAAAACACATCTGAGGAGTTTTAGCTTGCTGCCTCTACAGCCGCGGAGTGAAGCACTGGGCTCCCTGCAGCTCAAAGGCTCTGCAGGAAACCCTGCAACAGCCCACGAAGGCAGGATCCAGCCAAGAAAAGTGGCTGATCTCCACCCCCCGCACCCTGCCTGCCTGAGCTGCGTGGGGGCCTGGTGCTTCCCTCCGCAGCTGCCGTGCCCTTGGGACCACCCAAGTACTAGTGGCATCTGTGGGAGCTCCTTGCTCACTGTTGCCAGGCTCCTGCTGCCACACTTCTGCCACCACCAAGCCCCACCACCGCTGTGCCCCCCCAGCCACCAGGGATACGGGTCATTCATATCAGTGTGTGTACAACACGGGGGTTTAAAGGGCCCTATAATGAAGCGGTGTTTTTAAAAACCCACCATTTCAATTTAGGGCTCCCGTTTCATCTACACATGCCCGAAGCCTTTATTTTAGAATGATCACTGTAGCAATGAAAAGAGTGAAAGAGACAGAAGTAATTGGAGCAGTGGTCTGTATAGGTTCCATAGGTGTCTATCACAATTCAAGGTTCTGGTTTTGGCCAAGAAGGCCCTAAATAGGCTGACCCTGCCGACTCAAGAGACCACCTCTTCCTTTATGTTTCAGAACAATATCTAAGGTCAACTGAGAACAAACTCCTGCATGTATCATCTGTGCACCAAGTTTGTTGGGTGATAACTAGGGACCTACCAAATTCGCAGCAGAAGTGAATGTGTGGCAGCTCCTTTAATCTTGTATTTTCCTCCATGTGTCCCCAATGAAGGGGCCCTGCTGTTTGGCACTCAATCCAGATAGGCGGGGAGGCAAAAATGATAGTTTTAAATATGGTGTGGTTTTTGCTTCCTGTTGGTGATTGGCCAAGGAGCGCTGGCATCCTTGTTGCTTGTTGCTGACCAGCTGGGAGGCAAAAACAGCACCATATTTTAAACCGTGGTTTTCACCTCCCTGCTGATCAGGAGCAGCAAGCACATGGCAGGGCCTCTCCACCAGTCAGTGGCAGGGAGGACATATGGGACAAACTGCGAGATTAAATAGTCATCATGCAGTGCAATTCTGCTGTGATTTCGGTAGAACCCTTAGTGATAACACATGGAAGATCATTCTCTGTAGTGATTCCTTTGCTCTGGAATAACTCCCTTAAGGTCCATCAGAGCTTGAGCTTGGACATTTTCCAGGAGTATTGTAAGACCTTCTCTTATATTGGGACATATGGGAAAAACTGCGAGATTAAATAGTCATCATGCAGTGCAATTCTGCTGTGATTTCGGTAGAACCCTTAGTGATAACACATGGAAGATCATTCTCTGTAGTGATTCCTTTGCTCTGGAATAACTCCCTTAAGGTCCATCAGAGCTTGAGCTTGGACATTTTCCAGGAGTATTGTAAGACCTTCTCTTATATTGGCAGGCTGGGTTAAGTTTTGGGTCACTGGGGTGTTTGTTCTGTTACATATTATTGTATCTTAATATTTGTATCTGTCTTTATAATTTATCTGGTTCTTATTATAAATCACCCTGAGTCTCTTTTGGGAGTGAAGCATAAAAATCTAATCGATAAACAGAAGGGCATAGAATGTACTAATAAAAAATCCTTATAAAAAGTCAAGTAATTTAAGGAAGAGCACACACCAACTGCAGATGCTTCCTCAGCTTCTCGAAGGGTGTTTATACCTGAAAGCATGTTAGAAGACTTTTTCCAACTATTTTGAGTTGTAGGGCTGTACGAAATTTTGCCACCAGTTTTGTTTCAAGACTGTTTCGACTTGTTTCAACATTGAAATAGCAAAATCAAAATGGAACAGATATGGTCAAAACAGCCTTGAAACAAAATGAGGCAAGTCGAAACGTTTCACCGTTTCAACGCTGTTTCGACATTTCGCCCGTAGGCTATAATGGGGAAGGTTGAACCAGCCTATAGCTTTGTCATTTCTGCCCTGATTTGCATGAAACTTACAGAATTGATATCCCCTTCTGAGGGCATGATGCCTGACAGTTTCAAGGAGATAGGTATAGGGGTTCTGGGTATAGGTATAGGGGTTCTGGGTTCAGGGAAACTGCACCCCTTAATCATGAAAGCAAAACTCATGTCACGTATATGTGTTAAGCCACAGTGGAGTCAAAACTGCAGGCCTGCTAGCCCCTGATGAGGCCACAAAGCCTGGCAGCTGTCAAGGAGATAGGTATAGGGGTTCTGGGGCCCTGTACCCCTAGCTGCTGACCGGCAAAACTAATGACATGGGTGCTTGTGCAACTACAGGGGGACTGAAGATCCTCCTGTACAACTGTGACTTACCACTAGAGGGCTGGCAAGCAGAGTAATGGACAAGAATCAGAACTCTACTCCCCCTCCAGTGTGGAAGTGGGGATGGCATGAAGCTTAGAGGCAGAGCAGAGGGAGAATAGAGATTCAGCAAGGAAAATGATTTTTCTCTAATTGATTTAGTGCTGGTTAAAGGTGTCATACAGAATAAAGTCCTGAATTGATCCACACGGTAGGAACAGTGTAGGCAGAAACAGGGCAAACTCCATCCACGCTCCTTAGCTGTGGCCTGGAAGGAATGAAAGAAGTCTCCATGCCATCTTTCCATCCTTAATATTGCTCCTGTGGTAACAGGGCCCAAACCAGCAAGAAACAATATTGTCTAGCTCATGCTCTGTACCATCAGTCATGAGAGCTGAGTTCTGGTCCCAGTTCTCCTGCTAGCTTGCCATGTGGTGTTGAAGAACTGACAGAGAGGCCTTATAATGTGAGAGATCAGCTGGACCTTTCATTGCAAAATGTTTCAGAATACATGGATGACAGATTCCACAAAAGAGCTAAGCCTGACCTCAGCTGATACTTGCTCTCTGTCTGGGATATCCTTGCTGTCTATCTGGGCAGCACCTGGCCATGCCTTCCCACAAGCTGTTTGTCTCTATCCGCCTACCTCCAATGAACTAGGTGCATTTAAATACCCTTGACAAGGTGCTACCTGAGGTATCCCTCAATAGACTCAAGACACACCCCTTGATAGATTTGAGGCACCCATCAGTAAATGCCAGCTCTTAGTTTTCACTCATTTTTTTACACTATAGAAAAAAATAGAGCAATTCTTCTGTTGTGAAGAACTCAGAAAGACCCCAACAGGGTAGAATGTTTTTAAAATTATGGATTCTTATTTGAAATCTCCAGTATTATTTTGTGAATCATGTTTATAAGTTTAACAATTAATGCAGGCAGCTCTACTTTTGGCACACAGTTGCCACATCAGTTTCAACTAGATCAGGGAGCCCAAACAGCTCAGCTGCCTGGCAATAATACCACACAGCTAGGGGAAGCATATTTCTCCAGGCTTCCTGGTCTCACTGAAATTAATGTTGTGGCTTCATGCTGAGAGCAGAGCTGCTGGGGATTAAGCCCCAACAGCTCCACATTAAGTGTGGAGTTGCACAGCTCTTCAATACCAGGGAGCCCAGAAAGTTCTTCCCTAAGATGGCTGCATTATGGTTGTGGCTCTGCACTGCCAATGTAGTTGTTGGGGGTTAATCCCCACTGGCTCTGCTCTCTGCACAGAGCTGCAGCATTAACTGTGGCAAGACAAAGGAGCTGGGAAAGCGTTCTACCCTGGGTTCCCTGGTCTCACTGAAATTAAGGCACACTGACAGCAGCTCAGCGGCCCAGCAGTGAGATCATATGGCCAGGGAAAGCCTGATTCCCTCAGACACATGGGGCACTTTTACATATTCTCCAGAGGTTGGGGGTGGATAGTCTAATTAAAGCACTGCAGTGTCTCATGTATCAGCATTCCTGTGCTTCAAAATGGTGGCGGGGCGCTTGAACCCAAATGGCGGCAGGGGCATTTGAATTAAAGTTCAGTCAACAAGCTTTAGTTCAATCTCCACCACAGCCATTTTGAAATGCAGGGATGCTGATACACAAAATGTGGGCGGCTGCTAGAGCACTCTAAGTACCACACTCCAGCAGACTTGATTAATTGAGTCTGCTCTGATGTGCTATAATTACAGCGCATCAGAGCAGCCTCTGCACTTGTGTACAGGTACCCCTGGTCTCCATTTATTTGGGCCGCAGTGGCTCCATATTGAGCATGAACCCCCAAACAGCAAGACAATGAAGCTGAGAGAAGCTGGCTTCCTCTGGCTGCCTAGTCTCCATTGAATAAGTCCTACTGGCTCCATATTGAGCTACCAATCAGAAAAACCATGTAGCTAGGGGAGGCATACTTCCCTTATCTCCCTGGTCGATCTAAAATTAACCCACTCAGAGTAGTTGCTCTCAGGGCACATCTACACATTGCCCTACAGTGATGTTTTTACTGTGCCGTGCTTTAGTACTTCCAAAAGGAAGTACTAAAGCTCAGTGCAGTAACCACCTGTACTGTGTCATGTGCATGACACACAGTTATTTTTAGAAGCTACTTCACCATAGTGTATGCTATAATGGGGGAGTGTGCTGCTACGGCGAAGTAGTTGCTGGTCATGTGTAGACAGCTGTGGATGCTACATCGACATAGTGTGTTGCTATGGTGATGTATCATCACATGTAGACGTACCCTCAATGTGGGGGCAGGGAGATGACTAGAACTTTGCAGGGTAGAAAAGGCTAAAGCAGCTGAGAGCTGTGCATCCTGTGATGCTGGAGGAATGAAAGAGAAGTATATTTACTCAATGCAAGTCACTAAATCAATAGGGCACAAAACATGGCATAAAGATTAGCAACCTTTAAAAAACAAACAAACACCATAATGTACTACACACAAACTACTAGATGGTCTCTACTCTGTTTGTCTCCAGGAAATCTGGGATAAATCCCCATATACCCTAGTACCACATATGAGCACCAGTAAGCACATAATGAACACAAACAATTATGCCTTGGTCATATTATAAAAAAATAGCGTGGGCAGGAGAAGTGATCCTGGCTTGAGCTTGTGGGGCACACATCACTGTTTGTGGACACTATCAATTAGGGGTGTGCAAAGTGGGCCCTATTCAATTTGGATTCAGATTCAGCCTGAATCAGGGACAGCAATTTGATTAGTTGATTTGGATCACTGTCTCTGATTCAATTTGGCCAAATCCAAAACTGAAGATTTGATGCTGATTCAGAGAATCAGTGATTCGGACATAAACACAACTTTAAATGTTTTTTCTACATACCTTGAGGTACCAGGCATGGCTCATGAACGCTGGGATGCTGGGGTGGATGAAGCGTCCCACAGGATCATGGGGGGCACCCCCATGTGCTCGGTGGTGAACCTAGAAGTGGACCAGAAGTACTTCCGGTCCACTTCCAGATCTGCTGGGGAGCATGGTGACAGGGGCCCCTCACGCCCCCCCTGGCTGGGTGATCGGCCACAGGAGGACCCCGGGTGCCCCCTCCCAGACCCAGGAGGCACCAGTCACTGAGCTGGGGGGGGCACAGGGGAGCCCTCTGTGTGCTCCTCAGTGGACCCAGAAGTGGACCGGAAAAAGCTTCTGGTCCACTTCCGGGTCTGCTGCCAAGCGTGCTGGGGAGCCCCCATTCTCCTGTGGGACACTCCATCAGCCCCACCTTTGTAGCATTCATGAGTCACCTGATACCTTGAGGTATGTAGAAAAGATATTTAAAGCTGTATCTATGTCCAAATCAATTCAGGAGGGTTCCGATTTGAATTGGAAAGATTAAAGGGTCTCCTGATTTGATTCGGATTCAGAGATTCAGCCACCGAATCAGGCTGAATCTCCACTGAATCAAATCAGCAACCAAAGCTTCACACAGCCCTATTATCAATGCAGGCACACATTATCAATGGGAACTCTGAATCAAAATTCTAAGTTAAAGGCCTTTTGTTATCATGCTTCTCCAGTGTGACATTAAAGGGGAAATACTTGATGCTCATTTTTTGGCTTCTCTTGGATCATTCTTGAAGGGGTTGAAAACTTTTATTCTAAACATATTTTTTGGTTTTGAATGCCAGAAGTTTCCAGGAAATGGAAACTACAGCCTAATGATTGTATAAAGGAAAAAATATAGACAGAAAGAAACAGTGAGGCAGAGTGAGGTAAAGTTAAGCAAAGTGAAGCAAAAACCATGATAATAGAAAAATAAAATGGCAGGGAAGAAAAAGAATGAGAAGAAAAAAAATGTGAAACAATACTACAAAATAAATTTATTTAAGGATCATAAAGTGTATTTTTTTTATTTTTCAGGTCATCACTTTTTCAAAAATATTTTTTAAAGAATTGAATATTTTAAGGGAATTTTTCTATTTCAAAAATCCAAAAGGCCCATTAAAAATTTGACTGGCTCTGCAGTTGGCATAAGTGCTGAGTTGGGAAGACCTATAATAGGAAAGAAAGCATTTTGTGTTTTTATTATGTTTAAAGGAATAGTAAATGTTGTACTCACCTCCAACATCTGTTTGTATTTCTTTTGTACGCTTCTCGATTCTTTTACCAGCAAAGATTATTTCTGATGTGCAAGTATAATTGTGGTACGGTAAAAGTTCTGTCACTGTTTTAGTAGGTTCCTTAGACTGATCATCTGCACCAGAAAGATTTCCTGCATCAAAATGTAAAAACTTATTAACAGTCTTCCTGATTCAAAATCAGTGATTAACTTGCAAATACCATATTTTTTTGCATACCACATGCCCAAATGAGACATACACCTTGATTTGGGAAGGCATAATGAAAATTTTTCTAGTCTTCCTGGACACAGCATGGGCTCACCATGGCTGAATGCCCCTGACAGCATGCATGATGAGTATAGAGTAGACCCCTCAGCATCACTCCCCCTCTCCTTGCAACTCCAAACCTAAAGGTTTAACCCTATCATAGCTGTTGCCAAAGTGGCAAATGTCAATTTGGCAGCAGCTATGACAGAGTTACACCTTTAGCTTTAGAGCTTCAAGAAGAGATTGAGTGAGATGAGGAGTTGACATCACCCCTCCTACGAGTGGCCAGGAAGGTAGCACAGTTCATGGCAGACATTCCAGCATCCCCTTCATTCCAGATCTGCTTATCAGCTTCCTCACATGCACCCCAATTTTAGATGGCTAATTTTGGGGAGAAAGGTGTATTTGGTGTGTGAGTAAATATGGTATTTCATCTCACATTTATAATTTATTCCTTTTATCTGAACATAAAAGTAGCCAATACAACAATGGCAGTTTAAAAAAGGGAAGCAAACATATCATGCATAGCATCTACATATTATAATAATAGTGTCACAATATGAAAGCTAAGAACTCTGTTTTCACTCTTATGACTCATATATATGTATCCTAATTTCATCCACATTCTCTCTGAGACCAAAAAGGTAGATTTGCTGTAATAAACTGGGTATAGATATGATTCAAAATATGCAAGCTCCTTCCACAATAGGGAGTCTAGACAATTCTGAAGATTATATGAATGCTAATTTTAAATAGAGATTAAAACATATTTACACATATGTTTAATTTTAATTATAAAAATATATTCATGCTATTGTCTAGAAACAGTAATTCACAAAGTCTGGAGGGTTCATTATGGATGAGAATAAAAAGGTCAGGATATTTATCCAAGCCCTTTGAGATCAAACCCACTAAGTACATTCTATCCTTGATTATCCTGTCAGGACAGGCCAAGGCCAAGAACCTTCCCTTCCTTTCTTCCACCTGTATGTTTAGGACTATCCTTCTCTTCAACTCTTATGAACATTGAGCTCTTTCCATCTTCATAACCTGAGTCATCTACCCTCCCTGCTTTCACTGTGGCCCTACCTGCAGGGGAGAGTATGGGTGGAAGTTGGAAACCCAACTGGGGGATATTTTCCCAAATCTGTCTTCTCGTTATTCTTACCCACCCCTTGAGGGGATAACTATGGATGTCTTCTTTCTCCTGCCATGTACTATGTCCTGTATTACATTCTTATTTTGGAGTAGTGCCTGAACCAGCCGCTCTAATCAAATGTCCTAGCTAGGCAGGGGATGTGAGGAGAGCCCTTCCTTTAATTTCTTCTAGTAGTAAAGAACCTGAAGAATTTTCTATATAGTAGTTAGGCTGTATTCTCCCTTGCTGTTAGCAATGGATAGAACTTATTGAACTCCTTTTGTTTTAAACACACTCATATTGGGGACAGCAGTAGAATAAAGAAATCCATCGCTGTCCAGGAGAGGAATGGTGAGCATCTGTGGACTACATCAGCCCCAGCCTGCTACATTTTCAACAGATGTCAAGACTTGAGGGAAGGTTAAAAGTGGACAGAACAGCTTAGCTGGGTGCTGGTTGGGACAGCAAACCTCCCAGTCTACAGAAGAAACCTCCTCTATCTCCTAAACCTCCCACTCTATAGAAGACAAGTCTAGCTGGTATCAAGCTCTGATTAGGGATTGCTCCCAGACACCTGCCAGAGCTTCTCTGAAGGGAAGCCTTATCTGGAATGACTGTTTTAATTGCTACCAATGGTTGCTGCTTTTCCTGAAGAGGACTAAAAACAAAACAAAACCCTTTTGTCTTATGTACCTTACTAGAAGATTGACAAAGGTCTGTCCTGAGCACAGGAGTGATATGGTCACAGAAGTTTATCATCTTAACTAAAATTTTCCTACCAAATAGTAAAACAGGAAAAATGTCAAGGCAACAACTCTTTAATGGATGTGTATTTTCTCATTATTCTTAGACTTACTGTATTTATTCAAGTCCAAGATGAGCTTTTCTCCCCCTGCCCATTTAATATGGGGAGAAAGCCCCTCATCTTTGATTTGACAGCAAGGCAGCAGGAGGGTAGACAGCAGCGGCTGTGGCTGTGGTCAGGACTGAAGCCACAGCT